GAGATTTGGAATTTAGATTACTGTTCAAGTGTAGTATTGAGCTATGGAGACAAATTTGGACACTCGGAGTAAATAGAATAGAAACTTCACTAAATTTTGAACAATTTGGATTTGGATAACGGAGAGAGCTGACAGAGGGTTAGAAAGAAGGACCAAAGGGTTTTTGGTACAAAATTTAGTGGTGGTGATCGTAGAGAGGTAGTCTAGAAACTTTATATTTATGTGTTCGAAAAGTTATAATTGGAACTACATGTGAAACCTGTACGTTTTTGCTAAAATGTGTAATCGAAATAAGAAAGAGATTTTGGAAAATAGTGCCAATGTGTATGAAGAGTACATAATGGTAATAAATTTGATATTAAATGTATGAATAGTGGTGGAATTCAGAAGTATAGTACATCAAATTATACAACATTTACGATTTCCATATGAAATATTATTTTTTTATTCCCTTTCCGCATACGAAGTAGCGGGTACTTTGCTAGTGTGTTATAAATTATAATTAAAACTAACTAATCAACGTTGTATGTGAAATGTTATGCTCTTATCTTAAATTCTTCTTCTTCATATATATATATATATATATATATACGACTCTAACAACTAGCCTGCACTCAGAGATAATAATTGCGCGCGATTTTCCTTCTCGGCACATTCGATAGCTTCCATTGGGATGATTAAGCTGGGATTTCCTATCATCAATGGGATTTCCTCACGTCATCAATTCTGCCTTCTATATCTGATATAGGTCAACTTAGACAATGTTCAATATCAACAGATAACACGAAACAATTTTTAAAATTGGTATCAAAATCAAAAATATTTTTAGTGCGTCCACGAATGACTACTATCAAAAAAATTTAAAATTAGCAGTATATCTGAATTTGAAAAAGTTTTAAATACACAAAAGGCAACGAAACAAAATTTTTGTAGATCAGTGTCATTGAAATTGGCATTGACGTAAAATGCATTTATTAAAAAAAAATATATGTGTATATATTTTTCACAATCTTTTGAAATAACTGTAATTGTTGCATAAGCAATAGCACATCTATAAACCCATTTTGCCGCATTATTAACAATTCGTCGTGATAAGCTGATTTATTTAAATATTATATTTTTATAGCCAATTTTGTTGGTATATTAACAATTTTGAGACAAGATGGAATTCTGTGGAAAATTCGGAGGAAATTATGATAGGAAATATTAATTAACCATGATAGTAAATATTAATTTATAGTGTGGCGTTATAAATAAAATACATTTACATATCTTTAATTAAATTTGAAATTTGAATCTGCAACTAAATTTGGAAAAATTCATATTCGATCTACTTACCCAAGTGTACATAATTTTCCTCCATAAACTGGTGGGCATCATTTTTTCTCGATATTTGACATACCACGCCAATTCGACATCAATTTTTTATTTAATTGCGTACAATCACTTAAAAATCACAGTTAAAAATAAAGATTTTGTATTTCACATTTGACTCACTTATTTTTCAGAAACACTTTCACTGACACCGTCACATTTTCACTTAATTTTTTGCACACTTCAAGGATAATTGGCTATCCAATTGGGGGCATATAGATTTTTTTATTCGCTGAATGATTTCATTTTGGCTTTGGTGCAGGCACATCCTCCTGTAGAGATGAAGAAGGAAACCTGGTGACAGATACATACAGCGTGTTGAGGATCTGGAAGGAGCACTTTGAAAAGCTTCTAGTATCAAATAGTGGCGTTGAAAATGACACCCCAGAACCAATAAGTATAGAGTTTATACCACCTAGCCAAGATGAGGTCATAAAAGCGATTAATCGGCTCAAGAACAACAAAGCAGCAGGAGCCGATGGGTAACCAGCAGATGCTGGTCAGGAGCATACACCAGCTGATTAGTACAATTTGGGTAGATGAATGCACAAAAAAGGAGACAAGACGATATGTGCTATAGAGGAATAAGTCTCCATCCCATCGCATATAAAGTGCTATCCAGTGTGCTGTGTGAACGATTGAAGCCAATGGTCAATGACATCATCGGTATCAACGCGCAAGACGTCCAGTAGACTCGGACCAACTATGGAACTTGAACTGGCTATCCATGAGGCTGATGGGCGCGAGTACGTTTACCTAAGTGAGGAGACTAGGAACCCATATATTTGCTTAATTATAGGGGCGCCAAAACACTTCTCTTAGAAGATCATTTTCACTCGGCCATTTCCTCAAAAACTCTATAGATCTAGATATGCTCCCAGCCTTTGTGGCAAATGATGCAGCCTCCTCATGAGGCGAGGTCAGTTTGATTTTTTGTTGTAGTAAATGTGACGATCATATAATCCAATATCCAATATGGCGCACAAACTGATTATGCTGATAATTTTAGGAGAAACTATTTTTGAAATGAGCGACTACAGATAAATGAGTGCGCTGATTTCAGGACAAGTATGCCGTGATTTGTAAGGAAATTATGCTTGATCGGAGTGAAGTGTGAAGAGACGCCATGCGGGTCGATAGGAGATTGGAGATTAGTTCCTAGTATGGCTGGAATTCTATCCTTCAATTGAAGTAGTTCATTCGTGAATTAACCAGCTTCACTTGCTGGAACTTAGCCTCTTGTAAGTTCTGGAGCGGCGTTCTATTGTCTTTTCTTTTTTCGTGTAATACATATCAATGGTTTATTCACTCTTTTTACTGAATTGTTCAATTGCACTAGTTCCATCGTGAGCTATTCAAGCACTGTTTTCACAGTAAATCGTTGAACTAAACTTGGAAGGGAGTAGATTATCGTAGGTACACATACGACGATTTTATTTTTCATGTTATTTGGACTTTTCTTTGGTTATTACAATTACAAGAAACTCTCAATGTCCATGGCAAGAACCATATCGACGCAACTACTTCATACACTCTCTTTAGTGAATCGTTCAATGAACTTGTTTGTTATTAAACTAAACAACTCCACTTGAAATGGGTAGTTCGTTATAGGTTTTGGGACTCTGCATTTTAATGTCTAATTTGTAATTCTCTTCTAAATCGTAGGAAATATTCCTCGTTTGTAATAAATCATAACCGCAGGACCAACTAGTTCATACACTCTCTTTAGTGAATCGTTCAATTGAACCAGTTTGTTATTGAATTAAACAACTTTATATGCAACGCAGTAGCTTTGTGTAGGTTCTGAAATGAAGAGTTTTTCCAACACATTCCCTTTTTTCAACACATTTTTTCATTTTTTCAACACATTCCCTTCGACTGCCCATTTTCATGCACTCTATCTTTCTTCTAAATCGCATGATAAACTATTAATATTTAAACATTGTTTTACAATAAATCATATTGGTCAACAAAACATGGTATAATATTGATGGAATGGTAACAGGTTCAATGTTTTTTGTAGTTGTTTTTATTTTATTGAAGTAAAAAAAACCAACTGGAAATTTGTTGTTGTAAGCCCTTCTAGGTTCTTCTGTCAACTCATTTGACAGAAAAAATGTAAATAAACAAACAAATTATCATCAAATTATTTTTATTTTGAAAATGAAATATTTTCGAGGGTCTTTAAAATAAAAATTGAAAAACATGAATGAAAATCTATCAAATTTATATTTCTATCTATTCCACATGTTTTCACTAAATAGTTCAATTGCCATATATATGTGTAACACATATGAAAATGATGGGAATCCGAGATATTCCTTGAAGAAAGATTTGCTTAATGTCAAACTTTCCCATTTCAGGCAGGTTGAGTAAATTGAATACAGGAGCACATTTAATAGAACAATTTTCCTTGTTCGGAATAAATCCTATATACAAGTCCAGTTCATACATTCTTTTCAGTTAATAGTTCAAGTGAACTAGTTCCTTCGTGAACTAAATAACTTCACTTGGAATGATTTCTATTAGCATGACATCTTTGTAGCGTATCAAATTCTGCTATTTTCTTGAGCTTTAACCGATTTATTGCTATGCGATAAGGATTCCGCGGCCTCTTATCGGACTCAAGATTCATCATGGTTCAAAATCAATTGAACTTCGTGCCAGTTATTACCGTCGTTTTCCAATTTATTTATGAGATATGAGAGGTAAACTCTATAACCTCGATTATGTATTCCAATTTATGTTTTTCCGATAGAAACAATACAGCTTCGATGGAGGAGGATTACAAAAATATGTTTTCCTAAAATTCAGATCGGAAATATTATTTTCAGTTCGTAGTAAATTAAATCAATTTTCAGCCAGCCAGAATTTAATGGGGGAAGGAAGATAGGAATAAAATTTATCCGCAAAAATCTGAAACAGAGCCATTAAAAGAAAAAATCCATCTCTAGAGGTATTCTTGATCCCGCATTTATTGCCAATAAAAAATTTTCCATGCACACGCTGACGATGTTTTCATTCTCAGTTCAATCTGCATGGAAATCCATCCAACAACTGGCAAAGTCGAATGGCATTTTGCGATCATTTAAGCTATTCTGTGTGTGCGGGATCAAGCTTATCGCTAATTTGTTTTTGTTTTGTCTCCGATGGCTATAAACCAAAATCAATCATGCAGGAAATCTATAAAAAATACGAATATAAAAATCTTCCAAAATAACAACTGCCGAAAAAAAACAAAAACATCGCATGTTAATAACCTGAGGTGATGATAAGAAGAATTTTTGTTTCAAGATGTAAAGTAAAGCCATGCAAAGGGTATATAAATCGAATTCCCGTGTGGGCCCAAACTATAGTCACTTCAAGTGTTCCTGCGACGTTTGAGTGGTGGATTCCCTCCGAAGTATTTTTTGTTTTCCAAGATGAGGTTAATTTTTCCCTTATTGTGTCTAGTCGGTTTGGCGACATGTGGCCTTATTGTCGATCGTCCAAGTGTAAATTTAAATGTACCGCAGGGCAATCAAAATGGTAAGGAGAATTTTTTGAAGATGACAAAGTGTCCTGCTTTTCGAAATCCTTCTTTAAAATATATTTTTTTTTTCATAGGAGTTGGCCGTTTGTACACCATGTCAAGAGATGAATTGTTACGCCAAAAATTCTTATTAGATATTCTACGCCAAGTTGAATTGCCTTTGCAGAATCCTTCCCTCTTGCAGGTTAATGTTGAGGGTGTTGCGGATGCAAATATGTATAGAGGGGTAAGTTTTTCGTCGAAAGAAGAGCCTAACAGATTTTCAATAAAAAAATATAAACAAATAAAAAAGAAAACCCTAGAGGTTCGCAGGAAGAACGGCTTGACAGCAAACCTCCTCGAAGAGGAATACTTCGAAGACCTTATAGGCCCACATAATGCCATAATTTATTGACAAAAGATCTTTTTTAGATTCTTCTTTCGATAGAAGACCTCTACTATTGTTAGAAGGTTTCCGTAAGGTCTTGACGGACCTTAAGGAGATCACATCTGCTGATATGAAAGAAACCTTCTTGGAATGTTCTCAATTGACAAAATGCATCCTTCGAAGGATCTCTATTATTAAAAGTCATCCTACGAGTGCCTTCCCTTGAGAGAAAAAATACTTCCTTCTATTGACAGTAGACCTCCTCCGAAGTGCTTCAAGTATCTGCTATTAATATAATCCCTACTTCGAAGGGCTTCTATTAATAAAAGTCCTTCTTCGATTCCTTCATCGAAGTTCTTCTATCTATAGAAGTCCTCCTTTGAGGGTCTTCTATTAATATATATAATAGAAGTCCTGCTTTGAGGGTCTTCGATTAATAGAAGCTCTTCTTCGAGGTTCTTCTTTTGATATAAGTCCTCCTTTGAGGCTCGTCTATTAATACAAGTCCTCCTTCGAGGGTCGTCTATTAATAGAAGCCCTTCTTCAAGGTTCTCCTATCAATAAAAGTCCTCCTTCGAGGGTCTTCGATTAGTAGAAAACCTCCTTTGAGGTTCTTTGATTAGTAGAAGTCCTCCTTCGAGGTTCTTCTTTCAATAGAAATCCTCCTGTCAGGGTCTTTGATTAATAGAAGTCCTACTTTGAGGGTCTTCATAATAATAGAAGCTCTTCTTCAAGGTTCTTCTATCAATAGAAGTTCTCCTTCGAGGTTCTTCTATTAATAGAAGTCCCCCTTCGAGGTTATTCTATCATTAGAAGTCCTCCTTCGAGGTCTTCGATTAGTAGAAGTCCTCCTTTGAGGTTCTTCTTTCAATAGAAGTCCCCCTTCGAGGTTCTTCTGTCGATAGTAGTCCTCCATCGAGGCCCTTTTATAAAAAATAGCTCTCATTCGAAGTTCTTCTATCAATCGAAGTTCTCCTTCGAGGTTCTTCAATTAATAGAAGCCCTGTTTCGAAGGACTTCTATTGATAAAAGACCTCCCTTGAAGAATTTGTATTAATATCATACCTTTTTCGAAAGTTTCGCTCCTGGAGGTTCTTTTTGGAGTTTATCCACACCCGAAGTCATCCTTCGTGTGAGTATTCTACAAATATAAGACTTACTTCGAGGCCTTCTATTAAGAGAATCTCACCTTCAAAGGGTGTCTATCATTAGAAGTGATCTTTCGAGGGTCTTAAAAGCCTCCTTCGAAGAGTTTCGATTTATTTATTGACCAAGCACATTTTATAATTAAAAGGTATATTCTAGAGCCTTCTATAGAGTAAATAATCACTCGATCTATTGACAGAATTTTTTTTTAAATAACCTCCTTGTCGTATTCCCCCAACCTCTAGCCCATCGACGATGATATGCAAATGGTATTAGATCTGGTGCGCAACAATCGCCTATTAGGACGCAACGTCATGTGTTCGATGACAAATGAAATCCATCTGCGGCAATTATTGGGTCTCTATCGTCTATTTGTTCGTGCTCGAGATTTTCAAGCTTTGCAGAACTTAGCTATTTATGCCAGACGCTACGTTAATCCAGTGCTCTTTGTAAATGCCCTAACATTGGCACTGCAGGATCGCACCGATACCGAAATGTTAATAGTTCCAGCCATTTATGAAATTTTACCACGAAACTATCTTGGTGATGAAGTGGTACGCGCTGTGGAAGAGATCGGACGGGAAACACCTCGTGTGACAGAGAATACAAATAGTGTCTCTCAAAGACCTAGTCTTTTGGATCTAATTAAAATGCAACGTAATGCTAAGCTGAATTTTAATCCCTTCTTCATGGGTCTTGGTGTGGGTGTGGGTGTGGGCGATGGTACTGGTGTTGTCTTTGATAAATCCCAGCTATGGATGCCATGGCGTGATATGCATCAACAATTGGCCATGCAAAGGACAATGGGTATTGGTGGTCGTCTGATGATGCCGCCTGATCAGAATAAGGATAGTGTGCGTATTATACCCATGGGTAATAGTCAGGGTTTATTATCGGATGATTTGGGTTTGCGTGCATTCCTAAATATTCTACTGGATCAATTAGTTGTGGAGCAGTCGAACGCTGTGAGGGTGGTAGATAGTGAGATGGATGTTCAGACGAGTAACCGGAATAATGCAGATGATGTCCGCTCAATGTTTATGGGTCGCGAACGAAATGTTATAGGTGGCATGGGATCTGGAAAGCAGAACTATGAGGATGATGATGACGACATGTTGAGGAGGAACCGTGTGCGATATAATTTAGATGAAATTGAAATGAGAAGAGGTGGAGGATATGATGTAGAGCGGAATGTGGTAAGATTATTTTTTTACATTTTATCTATTCAAAAACGCAGATAATGTAGATACATTATAACAAATAGAATGGATAATGTATCTACAATTTCCAAATGGTGTAGATAATGTATCTATACTGCGAATAATGTATCTACATCATCCGAATATATTGCATAATTTATCTAAATTATCCGAATAGTTTGTAAAATGTATCTATAATGCATTTACATTAGTCAAATAGTACGGATAATATATCTACATTAGCCAAAAAGTTTAGATAATATATCTACACTGGTATAGATAATGTATCTCTACTGCGAACAATGTATCTACATCATCCAAATATATTGTATCTATAGCACGGATTATGTATCTACATTATCCAAATAGTGCAGATAATGTATCTATATCATCCAAATATCTCGGATAATGAATCTACATTATCCAAATGGTTTAGATAATTTAACTATAGTTCAGATAATGTATCTACATTGTCCAAATAGTTTAGATAATATATCTACATTATTCAAATTGTTTAGATAATGTGTGTATATATATATATATATCTTGGATAATGTATCTATAGCTCGGATAATGTATCTAAATTATCCAAATATCTTAGATAATGTATCTATATCATTCAAATATCTTAGATATTGTATCTTCATTATCCAAATAGTTTAGATAATGTATCTATAGCTCAGATAATGTATCCAAATATCTTGGATAATCTATCTGTACCATCCAAATATCTTGGATAATGTATCTATATCATCCAAACATCTTGGATAATGTATCTACATTACAAACATAGTTTAGATAATGTATCTATAGCTCGGATAATGTTTCTATATCATTCAAATATCTTAGATAATGTATCTACATTATTCAAAAAGTTTAGATAGTTTATCTATAGGTCAGATAATGTATCTACATTATCCAAATAGTGTAGATAATGTATCTATGTATCTATCTATATCATCCAAATCTCTTGGATAATGTATCTACTTTACCTACATAGTTTGGATAATTTATCTGTAGCTCAGATAATTTATCTACATGTAGCTTTAGCTCGAATAATGTATCTACATTTTTAAATTGTATGGATAATGTATCTATAGCACGGATAATGTAACTACACTATCAAAATAGTATGGATTATGTATCTACATAGCTCGGATAATTTATCTATATCATCTAATTTTAATAGATAATGTATGTGAATTATCCAAGCTGTATAGATAATGTATCTACATTATCCAAATAGGTTAGATAATGTATCTGCACAGATAATTTATCTACATTATCCAATTAGTACGGATAATTTATCTACATTATCCAATTAGCACGGATAATTTATCTACATCATCTTAAAAGTACGAATAATGTATCTACGTTATCCAAGTATATTATCTACGTTATTCCTATATCATATATTATTTACCTAGATTATCCAAACGTCACATATTATATATCTAATACTCTTTTTGAAATATTTCCTTTCGATTAGAATCGACCCCTCAATCGTATTGATTTGGATGCTAGAGAATCACTTCGTGAAAACTATCCGCGTATGGATCAAAATATACCAACTAGACGGCAATATTTTGACAAAGATGAGACTATTTTGCGGAATGATCGGGAACGTGTGAATCAAAATCAATATTATGACAACGATGACAGTATTTTGCAGAACGATCGGGAACGTGTGAATCAAAATCTACCAAATCGACGCCTAGATGATGAAGATCGCAACGTGATGAATCAGGAACGACCTCAATATTTCGGCGGTAGCCCAAAATTAAGTTTACTTAATGGAAAAATTGGTCTTAAAGGTCTATTAAATCGTAATGTGGATAGAAGTTCCGATCTTAATCGTATGACGGGAAATTCACCTGGAATGCAACGGAATTTTGTGATGGAGAGGAATGTGAATATGGAAAGAGGTCAGGGAACGAATGCTATGAATAGAAATCTGGGAGGAGTGGATAGGGACCAGGGAATAAACCGAAATTATGCCATGAATGAGGATCAGGAAAGGAATGAGAGGAGAAATTATGACTTGGAGAGAGATCAGGATGTGAATAGGAATTATGGAATCAGAAGAAACATGGAAGGGGAGAGAAATATTGGTATCGACAGAGATCAGGGAATAAGAAGAAATTTTGGAATTAACGAAGATCTGCAAAATAATAAGAAGGGAAATTATGGCATGGGAAGAGATCAGGTAGTGAATAGAAATTATGGAATGGATGAGGATCTGCAGCGAAATAGAAATATGGGAATGAATAGACAAGATGATCTGGTCCGAGTACCACTTCGCAGTGATGTGAATCGAAGAAATCTCGGCTATGATCTGGAAATGGATAGGAAAGTTAACGCGAGAACTAATGTACAGGGATCACTGAACCGTAAAAACTTTGGCTATGATATGGACATAGATAGAGATCTTGAGATGGGTGGAACAAATAATTTGTTGTTTATGGTTATGCCTGATAATGTGGACCGACGCAACGTAGGCCGTGATGTGGATAAGAGGGGATCTTTTGGAAATCTTGTAAATAATAGAAATGAGGATGATAATAGGCAAACAAATAGAAATTTGGGAATGAGTAAAGAAGTTCGAGGATCTACGGAAAATATTATGAATCGTCGGAACAGCGGTGACAATTTTAAATCAATGGAGGATGATGGTTCTGTACGTGTTAGTTCCGGAAGATTAGGTTTACTCAATGGTAAAATTCGCAATACTAACCAGGATGATATCCCACAAAGAAATGTTGAAGATGATATGCGCCGGGTACCCCGCAGCTTAAACCGCATTACACCCCGCAATGAAAGAACTCAACGTTTGGGTGAATTGATTTTCTATAACCTGCAACAATTGGTGGCACGTCTGAATATTGAACAGATTGCATTACAAAATAGCGGAACGAATGCAAATTCTATGAATCGATTAAATCGTGTGGCCCTAACGCGTAATACCATGGGAAATTTGGATTCAAGTAACTCCCAAGAAATGATAAATACTATCAAAGAGAAAATGCTCCAGATTAAAGGTGCGGCAATGAATGCCAACACCATTGTGGATGTTATGAAGGGTATCGGACGTCTGAATCAAATCGATACTTCGGATATGCAATCAGTTCAAGGTCAAATGGGTAGCTTTGATAATCGGGAAAATATGGATCTCACAATGCTGCAAAATATGGGTTTAGATGACAGCACCTTTCAAGTTGTCGTCGAAAAAATGCAAGAAATTACCGAACGCCTTGAAAATACCCTGGAGCAGAACATCGAGCATCTTGGCCAAAGGCAACAACATTACAACAACTATGGTCTCGATGATCAACCGATTAACCAAAAAATTAATCGCCTCGTGTTAAATGAAATCCTACAGGAAGTTGTTTATCTCTCCGAATATGTAGAGGGTGGTCAAATCTCGAATATTCTTGAGACCCCTATAACCCAATTACTACTCCGTCACATAGTCAATACCATTGAACGTCAAATACAGGCACTGAGACCAACACGTAATTTAAATGACATTGCCTTTGGTGATGTCACCATTAATAACCTAAAAGTCGATGAATTACGAACCTATACGGAAGAGGTTGATGTGGATCTAACAAATATCCTAAATCCCATCGAAGTGGATTCTCAGAAAATCATAATCGGTCGCATGCCTCGCCTAAATCACAAATCATTTACCATAAATTTGGACCTAAGCTCAAATCGTAATCAACGTGTTGTTCTACGCACCCTCCTAATACCCAAAGTGGATAGCCAAGGTCGCCGAATATCTGCGGAGGAACAACGTCAAAATGTCGTACTACTTGATATCTTCGATGTCAATTTGACGCCTGGTCGCAATGTCATCAAACGTAAATCCCGTGACATAACCTGGACCGGACGAGATGTTACCACCTACCAGGAATTATATAAACGGGTTATGACTGCCCTACAGGGTAACATCGATTTGACTTTGAATCCTTTAATGGGACAAACTACCCTATTGCCACATCGTCTACTATTGCCACGTGGTCGTGTTGAGGGTCTGCCAATGCAGTTGCTGGTTGTCATTACACCTGCCGATGATGACACCCCGACATCTATGATGTCAGGTCAAATTGTAAATACCCGTTTGGGTCTTGATTCTCTATTATTAGATAATCTTCCCCTGACTTATCCCCTGGATCGTAATGCCGGTGATGTTCAGAAGCTCTTAACCCTACCCAATGTTATGATGCGGGATATTTTGATTTATCATGAGGATAAAGTAAATCGGCTACCACAATAAGAAGCAACACTCGCTGTCTATCTGGCTACCCCCACTCCCCGAGCTAATACCACGAATGTATGACAATCCAATATTGCTGACAATAATCGGATCGGATATTGCAACGAACTATCTGATTAATTGATTCCATATTTATATAATATTATGTTAGTCAATATGTATATTTGTTTTTGTAATTATATATATATATACGAATAAAAGTAGAAAGCATTTATTTAAAAGCAACAGAAAAAAGTCGCACTAATACCATTTTTATTATCCTCAAAGACCTCCATCTCTTCTATAAAGAAGGCCAGCAGCTATTCTATGGAGAACCATAGAATAGCTGAAGGCCTTCGTTATAGAAGAGATGGAGGTCTTTGAAGAAAAAACTGAAGGTCTCACTATTAAAAAGGTGAAGATATTCTTCATAGAAGTGCTGAAGATATTTCGTCATAGAAGCTCCAACTCTTCTAAAACTAAAGGTCTTTTTTATTTATCTGCAAATCTTCTGAAGGTCTTCTTTATAGAAACCCAGAAACTTTTCTTTAGGGAAAAGTTAAAGGTCTTTGTCACTGAAGTCAGAAAAGAAGTGCTGAAGGCCTTTGTCAGAGAAGAGCTGAAGGCATTCGTCAACTGAAAGTCGATATAACAGCTGAAGGTCTTCTTCATAGATGAGCTGAAGGTCTTCTTCATAGAAAAGTAGAAAGTTTTCTTTATGGAAAAGTTGAAGATCTTCGCCATAGATGAGTCCTCTCCATAGAAGAGCCGAAGGTCTTCTTCATAGAAGAGCTAAATGTCTTAAGGTAGAAAAAACTGAAGGTATTTGTCGTAGAAGGACATGAAGTCCTCGTCATAGATGCGAAGGAGATCTTGCTCATCAAAGAGCTGAAGACCTTGCTCATTGAAGAGCTGAAGGTCTTCAATATAAAATAGCTGAAGGTCTTCTTCATAGAAGAACTAAATGTCTTACTTACTTAGCTGGCTTGTGAAAAAAAGTAGCATCTGTTGGGACAACAATATTCTTCTCCGGATTTCAAAGCTGATGTTATTGATTTTGTTTATGGCGGTACCGAGGTATATAAAATCGTTCATTGCCTCGAAGCTGTAGTTTTCAAGTTCCACAGTTAGTCCGATTGGTCCTTCTAAATTCGTTCAAGGATGGCTGTTGCCGCTCGCAATGTTCGACCTATTATGTCGATGTCATTTCTGTTCACTTTTAGGGCTGCCGAATGCGGCTTTATAGTCGACGAACAGGTGGAATATATCGATGTGTTTTTCGTGGGTCTTTTCCACGATTTGGGGCATAGTGAAAATCTGGTCAATGGCGGAGTTGCCAGGCCTGAACCCGCATTGGTATGGTCCAATAATTTCATTGACCATTGGCTTCAGTCGTTCACACAGCACGCTGGATAGGACTTCATATGCGATGGGAAGGAGACTTATTCCTCTATAGTTGACACATATCGTCTTGTCTCCTTTTTTGTGTACGGAACGCAGGATGCTGAGGTTCCAATCAATGGGCATGCATTCCTCTAGCAAATTGTACAAATGAGCTGGTGCATGCTCCTGACCAGCATCTGACCACCGGTCTTCAATAATTCATCGGCAACTGCTGCTTTATTATTCTTCAGCCGATTAATTGCTACTCTGACCTCATCTTGGCTAGGTGGTATACATTTTATACCGTCATCTCTTATTGGTTGTAGGGTATCGACTTCACCGCCACTATTTCATACAAGAAGTTTTTCAAAATGCTCGATCCACGCTGTCCGGACTTCATTCTGACTCCTGTACATCTCGATTTCCCCACGGTCACATTTTTCTTGTTCTTTCTTCTTTTTCCTGAAAATACGTTTCTCGTCTCTTCTTTTCTCCCGATAATTCTCCATCACATTACGTGTTGCTACTGTCTGCAGAGTTGCTCTATACTCTGCGTTTTTCGAATCAATTGCATGTTTTTTGTCCTTCGCTTCTCGAAACGATTGAATGTTTTTTTCAGTCCTTCATGACGTTGTCGGATGTTTCTTCATGCAGGCTGAATTTTCCGACAGTGGGACCAAAAATATTTTCCCTTCCGATTTTTGCATTAAAATCTCCCAGCAGAATTTTAATGTCATGGCCAGGGCAGCGGTCAAAAGATGTTTCTAGGTGCTCGTAAAATATGTCTTTGGTCTGCTCATCTTTGTCTTCCGTCGGAGCATGGGCGCAAATAAGACTTATGTAGATGAACTTCGCTTTTATTCGGATTGTAGCAATTCGTTCATCTACTGGAATGAATCTGTAGACGACGTCTTTTACTCTCCTGTTAACCATAAATCCGCAGCCAAATTCTCGTCGTAATCATCTGGTTTACTTACAGCAGTCCCTTTCCATTGCATTTCCTGTAAAGCAATAATATCGGCTTTGCACTTCTTGAGTACATTCGCCAAGGCGAAAACGACAACGGATTTTCGTTGCTTCGAAGTTTTCACATGCATCTTCGCCGTCTATCATCTATTATCTGAAAAAGCCAATTACTCTTATACTTTGTTCCGTTTCCACGACAGAGGGGTCTTCGATCCAAAACGACCAGAGTATCGGCTAACGTCTGTCACTTTAGTCTATGGGAAAAAGTAATGGAGCTGCTACAACAAGAAGCTAATGGAGTATTTAATTGTATGCAATCCTATCACTTCGAAATAATAGTGGAACCTACCGTTCCACTCCTTCTGATAACTTTCCCCCAAAATTATCAAAATGTCATATGAAGTGAATGGAATATTAACCTACAATAATACTGAAGATATCGTTTATTGGACCACTTCTTCTGGTACCTCTCAGTTCAATCGACCAGATAGCGGATTTGTGGATGTTTTAATAAATATAACAACTGGTCGATTTTTGTTTTACTTTTTATTCATGGCATACTTTTTGGCATATAGAAAAAAATATGCAGAACAAACACCCAATTTTCTTATCAATCCGTACATTTGCAATGTAAACGATCTACATGTAACGGGGTGACTGCCTTCCTTAACCCGTTAATCACTGTTTAATACTACCCTATTAGCACTTCGTCAATTTTTTATAACAATCAAAGCAAATTAGACTCAATTCAGTGTGCTTATCCAAATTTCCTGAAAATCGAAAGATATAAAGGGGCTTTGATACACCGTTAACATAAAATCGGACGAAAATATATATGGGAGCTATATCTAAATCTGAACAGATTTTCACGAAACTTAACACACATCATTCTAGGCTTAATTCAGTACGCTATGCCAAATTTCGTGCCAACCGAGTGATATAAATGTCCTTTGATGCACCATTACCATAAAATCGGACGAAATATAAATGGGAGCTATATCTAAATCAGAATCGATTTTCCCGAAACTTGACACATTTTCACAAAACTTTGCACACATCATTCTGAGCTTAATTCAGTACGCTGTGCCAAATTTCGTGCAAATCGAAGGATATAAATGGGCTTTGATACTCCATTAACACAATATCAGACGAAAATATATTCTAAATCTGAACCGATTTTCACGAAACCTAAAACACATCATTCTAGGCTTTATTTAGTACGCTCAGTCAAATTTCGTGCAAATCGAAGGTTATGAAGGGGCTTTGATGCTCCATTAACATAAAATCGGATGAAAATATGTATGGGAACTATATCTAAATCTGAACCGATTTTCACGAAACTTAAAAGACATAATTCTAGGCTTAATTCAGTATGATATGCCAAATTTCGTGCAAATCGAGTGATATAAAGAGGCTTTGATGCACCATTAACATAAAATCGGACGAAAATATACATGGCAGCTATATCTAAATCTGAACCGATTTTCCAAATTTTATTATGGTTCGTCCTTGGACTAAATAAGTTGGATGTGCCCAATTTAGTTCGGCCGGGCCAAACTTTAGATACCCCCCACCATAGATATACTGACAGGTACTAGAAATGAAAATGTAGTGAACATACCGAAAAGTGGACCTATTCCGACATCTCTACAAACCGATTATGTAAACCATAATAAAAAATTTGAGAAATGTTTAATGGATAATAACACCCTCAGCCTTATGGCTAATAAGGGTGTATACACTTTGACAAGGTAAAAAAGTGCCTCATCGAAATATTGGTTCTAGACCCCATGTTTCTTTAGACCATATCCGTTGCAGAAAATTTTGATTTCATCCATTGCCTCATCGAAATATAGGTTCTAGACCCCATGTTTCTTTGGACCAAATCCGTTTCAGAAAATTTTGATTTCATCCAAACTTTGTACATCTTATCATTTCTTCCAAACTTAGTTCAAGTTCGATGATGGGGAATATCGGTCCACTCCTTCTGGAACCTCCCACACAGGGGTTAGGCCTAAATGCGGGCTATAGTTCATTATCGAAACTTACGTTCTAGTTATTTATCGCGATATCCTCCGCAGGCGAAATGATTACAACAGAGTCTTAGAACCAAACACAAAACGCGGAACAAATCAGATAACTATTTTAATATAAAAAAGGGGTTATATGGGGACTACCCCAAAAAGGGGGCGAATATTAATAATTTTTGGTGGGGAGATTTGTTACCATATACGAATACAATATACCAAATTGCAGCGAATTCGGTAGAAAAACGCGCTCAAGAACCCCAAAATACCGAACATTGGGGGGATACCATGATATGGGGGATATCCGAAAAAATTGACCTATATTCATAATTTTTGGTGGATAGATTTGTTACCTTTTAAGAACTCAAAATACTAGATTGCAGCTAATTCGGTGGAAAAATACGACCAAAACCCCCAAAATACTGAAAATTAGGAGGTATCGTTATATGGGGTTACCAGAAAAGTGGACCGATATTTTATTTTAGTGTAGATATTTGGTATTCAATAAGAACCCAATATACCAAATTTCAGCGTATTCGCTTGAAAAACGCTCTCAAGAACCCTAAAATACCTAAAATTGGAGGGTACCCTTATATGGGGGCTATGTCTAAACGTGGACCGATATATCCCATTTTCAAACTTCACCTGCCTACAGACAAAAGACAAATCTATGCAAAATTTCAGCACCCTATCTCAATTCCTTCAGAAGATAGCATCATTACAACAGATGGACAGACGGACGAACATGGCTAGATCGTCTTAGAATCAAGCATATATATACTTTATAGGGTCGGAAATGGTGGAGTGTATAAAAATCCCAGAATTGTTGCTATCAAAATGTGACAAAATATTTCCTTGAAAACACAACCCACGGTGAAAGGAATATGGACAATTACTTATCCATATTCCCTTCACCGGACTGTTCTGAATATTAGTAATTTTCGGAAAATATGTCAGTGTAAGGACGAGGTGCTGTTGACCTCTAATCGGGCAAGAGGGTGCAACTATCACGAAATATTGCCCAGGCTCGGTATAAAAATCCACGTATAGGGTATCGTATGGCCGGCCCCGTCGGTTTATACTGCTCCGCTCCGTTTGTGAGAGTTAAGATTGTAGTCCTTGGCTCTATGTGTTAGGTTGCTACATCAAATAATCTAATAATAATAAAAATGTTTTCGAAGTACAAGGGTTCTGACCACCCCTGAATATACGTTAAGGTATTAAAGTTAAAAATCCACGGCTACTTATAATCCTCGAAAAAATTAATTTTCAAAATCCTCGCCTATTTATAGTCCTCGAATAAAATATTTTTAAAAATCCACGCCTTTTTATAGTCCTCGAAAAAGAATATTTTTAAAAATCCTCGCACATGTATAGTCCTCGAAAAAAATACTTTTAATATATACTTTATAGTACAGATTAGAATTTCTTTCTAAAAAACATCGATATTAGAGATTATAATTTCTTTTTAAATTTTCTTATATTTAATTCACTTAATTTTAAAATTTAACAATTTCTTCTTTTGTTCGATTATTTCAGAAGATGTCAAAAAGCCACCACCACAAAAAACTGACGACATGTGTCTTAATACCGTTCATTATTATTTGTCTATGGTCAATTAATTTGTTTAACAAAAGACATTAAACATTGATGTGTGATTGGAGAATGGACCTTATCAACAACAAACATAGCAACCGGTACAAATTGCGAACCCAAAAATATAAACGATTTACGATGTCACCGAATCAGCAAAAAAACAGAAATGTTTTTTTGCCCAGTTAATAACCTTTGCCGTTGGACTATTAAGAGTTTCTTGCATTATGATTTTTCTTCCTTTGTGGCATGTAATTTTGCCTATCGGATGAAGTATAAAAAGCCATGCGATCCGATGTAACAGCATCAAAGTCTCTTGAAGTGTCTTCTGTGTGGTACATTGCAAGCAAAGACTTTCTTTCTTTCAGTCCTTTTTGCAGTCTTCATCATGAGAAATATTCTTATTCTGTTGTGCCTGGCAGGATTTGCTGCCTGTGGTGTTGTAACAGATCAACGGCAACAACAACAACAACGTTTGAATGTAAACGGTGTGCGGAATAATCAAAATGGTATGTAGGATGGGTTATATGTATATGTATTTGCATTTCAATTGTGATTATCCTTCTTTTGTATTATCCTTTTAGGTGTTGGCCGTCTATATGCCATGACCAGAGAGGAATTGCTGTTGCAAAAATTCCTTTTAGATGTTCTCAAGGATGTTGAGCTGCCTTTGCGTCATGAAAATCTATTGGCAATTGATATTCAAGGAATTACGAACCGAAATAATTACAAGGGGGTAAGCATTAATTGTCATTCCATAAGTCGAGCTTAAAAACAATTTCCAGGCGCTTCGGTCTTTTGCGCAGTTGTTCACTGTCAACGCAAATGGGACCATACATCTTTCGGAGAATTTTTCTCTCAAACACTCCAAGAGCTGCCTCATCCGCTTACGTAAGTACCCATGCTTCAGATCCATATAATAGCACGGGTAATATCAGCGTCTTGTAGAGTGTGAGTTTGGTCTGGCGGAAGGTGGCCTTGTTTCTAAACTGCTTACTTAGACCGTAGTAGCATCTGTTGGCCATCACAATCCTTCTCCGAATTTCAAAACTGACGTCATTCGTTTTATTTATGGTGTTAGTTCTCAAGTTCCACAGTCGGTCCGAGTCTACTGGACGTCTTGCGCGTTGATACCATCAGCTTGGTCTTCTCGCCGTTTACTGCCAGACCCACTTTGACCAGACTCCTTCTCAATTTGTTTCAATGGTGGCTGTTACCGCTCGCAATGGTCGACCTATTAAATCAATGTCATCGGCGTAGGCGAGTAACATGTGTTGTATGGTGTACAGAGTGTCGTTTCTGTTCACCTTTGCCTCTCGTATGGCCTTTTAAAGATCACACGACAAACTGTCAACTTGTCTGAATCTCCGTTTGGTATTAAAGGGCTCCGTTAGGTCCTTTCCGACTTTAACTACTGACCTTGTGCAACTTAAAGTTATCCTGCATAGCCGTATTAATTTTGCAGGAATCTCGAACGCAGATATGGCTTTAAATACCTCCGAACGGATAGGGCTATCGAATGCGGCTTTATAGTCGACGAATAGGTGGAATGTGTCTATGTGTTTTTGGTGTTTTTTTCCAGGATTTGGCGCAGAGTAAATATCTGGTCAATGGTGGATTTGCCAGGTCTGAAGCCGCATTGAATAATTCGTCTGGTAATCCATCGGCACCTGTGGCCTTATTATTCTTCAGCCGATTGATTGCTATTCTGACTTTATCTTGGCTAGGTGGTATACACTCTATACCATCAACTCTTATTGGTTCTGGGGTATCTACTTCAGCGCCACTATTTGATACCAGAAGTTTTTCAAAATGCTCCTTCCAGATCCTCAACACGCTGTCTGTATCTGTCATCAGGTTTCCTTCTTCATCTCTACAGGAGGATGTGCCTGCAAAAAAAACCTTCGGTTTGATGTTTTACTCGTTGGTAAAATTTTCGGACTTCATTCTGACTCCTGTGCATCTCGATTTGCTTTTGTAAATTTGCTTGCGTAATCGCCTGATTTAGTTACGCCTGTCCCTTTCCATCGCATTTCCTTTAAGGCAATAATATCGGCTTTGTAATTCTTGAGTACATCCGGTGCCCACATTCCAATTGCAGATTCGCAGATCGTGGTCTTTTATACGTTTGCGGGGGTCGTCAACATTAGGGGGTTTGGTTTTCCTTTTCTTTGCTTCATAGTTCTTATGGGTGAATTCGCGGCACATTTACCTCCGCGGGGAGGTCAGTGTCCACAATTGCGATGAAAGAGGGACCAAGACAAGCCTGGACTTCGCCATGTTAAAGCCAAGCAGAGCCGTTGCTTGGTATCTATCATCCCCTACGTCACCCCACGCCTTTTTATAGTCCTCGAAAAAATATTTTTAGAAATCCACGCCTATTTATATTCCTCGAAAGAAATATTTGTATAAATCTTCACCGGATCTCCGACGAATATTACGCTGCAACATCGGCAATTCAACATCCACCAGGAGGGTATTAAACCCTTCCTTCCATATGTCCTGGAAATCAATATTATTTTCATTCCTCTCTCTATCTCTTAATGTAGCCCTTGGATGCTGACACACAGCTTGTGCTCGATTTAATTCAATCGAATCGCGTATTGGGTCGCAATGACATCTACACCCTGACCCAAGAGACTGTCGTACGTCAACAATATGGTCTCTCACGTTTATTTGCAAAATCCAGTGACATTCAAACTTTACAACGTCTGGTGGTGTATGCCCGTCAAAATATAAATCCGATATTGTTTGTAAATTCTCTAATTGTGGCTCTGCAGGAGCGTAGCGACACTCAACAATTAATCATTCCCGCCCTCTATGAAATTTTACCACAAGCCTATAATTATGCAACGTTTATACGAATTGTTGGAAATAAGGATATTACGTTCGGAATTAGCAATCAAAATTTCCAGTCCTCACGATTGGGTCAAAATGTAAATAATCAGGATGGTGATGATGATGTTTTGTTGTCGGATGATCTTGATGTCAGATCGCTGCTTGATGTTTTAGTTAGCCAACTGGTGGTGGAACAGGGTAGCATACAAAATTCCATTGGAAATGGAAATCAAAATGTCATGGTCACTGGTAGTAGTAATATTGTTGGTAATATTCGGGTAAGTAAAGTTTCGAATATCTTCATTATTAATTGTGTTTACTAATGTGCCCCAATTTCCCTTTCAGAATATACTCGTTAACAAGGATAATTTGTTGGGCAGACAATCTCAATTGATCGATTTGAATGTGGGCAACCTAAGGGATCAGAACACGGGAAATATTTTGAATCGTGCTTATACCACTGTTGGCGGGCTGTTGGGCGATCGTTACACCCAGCAAGGCCTGAGGGATAAGAACTCTGGCAATAATTTGAATCGTGGCTCTTCGGGAAATATTTTCAAACGTGGTTATTCTGCTGTGGATGAATTTTTGATTGGTCATTCTTTGCAACAAAATTCAAGGGATAAAAATTCGGAAAGTACTTTGAATCGTGGCTATTCGGGAAATACTCGTAATGTTGTTGATGTCTTAGATGGTCGCTCCAGCCAACTGCAAAACGAAAGGGATAAAAACTCGGGAAGTAATTTAATTCGTGGTTATTCTACAATTGTTGATTTATTAGGTGGTCGCACCAATCAGGGCAGCTCAAGGAATCAAATGTCAGGAGATACTGTCAATGGTGGTGAGGTTTTGGTGGGTGGTCGTTATGGCCAACAAACCCAAAGGAGTACAAATTCTGCAAGTAATTTCAATCGTGATACTTCTAATATTGGTGATACATTAAGAGATCGTTCCACACAAAATTTGGGCTATGGCCAGCAAAGCCAAAGCAATACAAATACTGGAGGTAATAATATTGGCGACACATTGAGAGTTGGTTCCACACAAAATCTGAGACAAGGTACCACCTTAAAAGATGATCCCCTTTCGGAAGATATTATTGGTGGTACTATAGCTCAATTTAAAAGACAACTCATTGAAAACGTTGAAAATTCCAATATCCGTGGAAATCGTCTACCACGTAGCCTAACAAATTCTCCCCTCAACAATGGACGACGACAACAACAAATTGTTGGTCGATTAATTTTCTATCAATTACAACAATTGGTGGCACGTTTAAATTTGGAACAAATTGCATTACAAAATATCGAAAATTTGGAAAATCTTTCTAATCAGAATCTCAATACGATACTTCTTCAAGACAGACGTTTAGATGCCAATTCCAAGACCATTTTAATCGAACAGCTACAAAATATAAATCAACGTCTTGAAGCCACCCTGCAACAAGTTGTACAACATTTGAAACAAAAACAACAACAACGTGGAGTAGGAGGAGACCAAACTGGAGAACAAATAATCCTACAAGAGATAAATCAAATCGTACTCAATGAAATTCTACAAGAAATTATAAATTTAGCACAATACCAGCAGCAGGTGGGTGGTCCAATTTCGAACATCCTTGAAGATCCCATAACACAAATTTTATTACGACAAATTGTCATAACCCTGGATAAGCAGATACAACAGCTATTGGCAACACGTAGTGTAGAAAATGTTGCCTACAACGATGTCACCATTAATCGCCTACAAATTGATCAGCTACGCACCTTTGTGGATGAGGTGAAGGTCCGGTTTAACAATAACAACCAAAATATTATCCAAGGCCTCCAAAAACGTCTTAATCACAAATCGTTTACCATAAATTTGGAGGTCAACTCCCAGCGTACACAGAATGTTGTCATACGCTCGCTGCTCATACCCAAAGTGGATGCCCTGGGCAAGGAACTATCCTTGGAACAACAACGTTTAAACACCATACTCTTGGACATTGGCCAGCTGCAATTAACTGCAGGACGCAATACCTTAAAACTTAAATCTCGTGACATCGTTTCGACCGATAATGGCAATGTTACACCCTATTTGGAAATATATCAACAGGTTATGGGTGCATTGCAAGGGCAGATTAACAGGGATACGATTGATACGATTATAGGACAAACAAGTTTGCTGCCACAACGTTTACTTTTGCCACGTGGCCGTGTAAATGGTTTACCCATGCAGCTATTGGTTGTCATCACCCCCCTCGTTGGCAATAAAATAAATGTAAATCAGTCTGAAATTCCTCTATTAGGTTTGCAGAATATATTGCTGGATAATTTACCCATTGTATATCCTTTGGATCGTCAAATTTCCGATATCCGCCAGTTAGCAAATCTCTCAAATGTTGTGCTAAAGGATATTACCATTTATCATGATGACTGAAAACTAATTTCGATTTATAACTAAGATTCCCAAATTCGATGACTATACATGGACCATGGATGAATTGAATCGTGAATTCCCCCTTTTTTAATTAGAGTATAAGTAGTATCAAATAATTTTGTTCTTTAAATTATAAATAAGATAATAAATAAATATTGAATGCAATTTAATAATCTTGCCTTAACGACTTTCCTTACAACTACCTTAAAATTTAAACTTACATCTAACAATTTACAATTATGAGAATGGTTCTTATTGAGTTGTGCTGTACACAGACTCAACATCAGCGTCAAAACGGTGGTACCTTCGAGGGTCATCATCATACAGAATTCGTTTATCTCGCAACTTAAGCAATACAGCAGGCGGCAGCTGTTTTCTTCTAATGATGGCGAAGAATTCCAACTTGTACTCCAGGAATTGGTCCACTATCATATTCTCCATAAGTTGTCTCCTTTGGCGTTCCTCATCCTGCAGACATCGATCCGGTTGATATCGATGGCATTGTAGACGTTCTGGTTTGGCATGCGTCTGTAGATTCCATTGCTCTCTTTTGTTGTTCTCATTCCCAAGCATGCTGCCAATATTCCTCTTTCCCATACTCCAATTCTTTCCATTTGAGCTGACTATATGTCTGCCGAAGCGGCGAAAGAGTAGATGATGGATAGGGCGGATTACTTGCTTGTAAATTAGCAATTACACCTCCAACGAAAATCCTCCTCGCATACGGAAAAGGCTTTTCATAGGCGAAGTTCATCTTCTTTGCCTTCGACAGCACATAATCCAAGTGGCGACAGAAGTCAAAAACGGTCGTGCATTATTCCGAAATACTTCATCCTGTGAAAAACACCGATTATTTCATTACCAACATTAATAGTTGGAATGTGTTGTCGGATGCTGATTTGGGGTTGCCCCTTAAAAAACACAGATACACATTTTCCAACACTAAGATTGAGAGCCCATTTGTTGAAATAGTTATAAAATGTTTCCATGTACACGTCCAGCCTTCGTCCCACAGTGCTTCCAAAGTGTCCTTGCAATGACAGTAGCACATCATCAGCACACGTTATTAGCATTTCTCCTTCAAGTGTCACAAATGAACAAGTTATTCAGAACTAGTCCAAGCAGAGATCCTTGTGGTGGCCCTGCCTTGACTGGACGCTGTTCAGACAGCTTGTCTTCGACTCTTACTCGAAAGACTCAATCATTAAGGAAATCGCCATCATTAAAGAAACTTTGTAGATCGAAGCCAAACGATTGTATAAAAATGCCATGTTGTCATACTGTATCGAAGGCCACCATTGACAGTATTTCTCCAACTTTGATTCCTTGAGCAGCCCTGGGGGACCAACTAATACATCAACAATATTACGAATACTTCCCGAAACGCACGAATCAAATTATTTCCAGAATTTGTATCCGACCATCCAGAAATTCATTCATTTCCGATTAATCACGTTTTAAAATATCTCTCGAAGAGCCACGATTCAAATAATTTTTAAAATTCTTGTCCCTTAGACCTTGTTGAATGTAACGATCGCCCAACAAATCGCCAACAGTGGAATAAGCACGATTCAAATTATTTCCAGAACCGTTGAGAACCGTTTACATCGATCAACTGACTGGTCTGGCCAGCCTTGTTAGCGAATATATATTAGAAAAGGACACAGGACCTGATTAGTACTATTGAGAGCTAGTATTATAGTACTATTTGGCTAGATTAATGCATGTCTAATGATTGGAGACAAGACGATATGTGCCGACCAGTAAAAAACGGATTTGGTTAAATTTATACACTAAATTTCGTACAATTTGGATTTTGGTGAACGGCGAGAGCTGGAAATCAAAAAATTTGGAATAATGGTTGCTATTGGAATATGGAATTGAGATATGGAAGCATAGTACTTATGTGTACTAAATGATACTATATTTGGTACAACTTGATTATTTGTGAACCGATAGAACTGGACTCCAGAATTTTTTAATTAAAATTAATATTGGAGTGTAGGATTGACATAGTTTAGGAAATTCTTAATTAGAGAAATAAAAAGTACTAAATAGTACCAAACAGTTTACAAATTGTTTTTGGGATGAAGGTAAATTCGAAAGTACGAAAAGTACTAATTGGTACTAAATATGTGGAAACTCGTACTTACGTCTACGAAAGGTAATAACTTGTACTAAATTTGGAACAATTTGGATGTTGTTGGACTTAAGATTTTTAGCGGAGAGCATGGAAATTCGTTCTTATGGGTACGAAAAGCATTTTTTAAATTTGGACTTACAATTACTATTTGAAAGCAGGATTGATGTACATGGGTGGAATTAAGATTATTGTTAGAGTGTAGGATTGATGTAGTTTTAGATATTAATATATATGAGTAAAATATTACTAAATGGTGCTAAATTTGGAACAATTTGTATTTGGTTGAAACTTAGAGATTTGGAATTTAGATGACTCTTGAAGTGTAGTATTGAGCTATGGAGACAACTTTGGAAATTCGAATTTATGTGTACGAATAGTAAATAGAATAGAAAATGCACGAAATTTGGAATGTGGGTCACTGACGGAGAGTTAGAAGGAAGTACTAAAGGGTTTTTGGTACTATATTTAGTGGTGGTGGCGGTACGGACGTAGTCTTGAAAATGTGTATTTATGTGTTCGAAAAGTACTAAATGTGGAACCTGTACGTAAATATATAATTTGAATTCTGATCTATTCTAAATCTGTATAATGGAAATAAGAAAGTAATTTCGGAAAATTGGACGTATATTTATGAAGAGTACTAAATGGTAATAAACATGATATTAGATGTAGGAAAAGAGGTGGAATTCAGAACTATAGTGCAACAACTTATACAGTATTCACGACTTCCATATGAAATATGATTTTCGGTTTTTCCCTTTCCGCATATGAAGTAGCGGCCACTTTGCTAGTGAATAATAAACTTTAAAATTTCATAACAATCATTTGTTCAGTTAATAAAGTATAGATGGACTTAGTTCGCCGGCTTCATTTAGTGAATCGTTTAATTGAACTAGTTCGTTCGTCAAGTAAACAATGTCGTTCGAAACAACACAAAAGAAACAACGACAACAATCGGCTCTATTCGGCGATGTACATCACATCTCATTCGTAAATATTTGTTTGTTTGCTTCTTTCTTCCTTTGCCCCAATATAGGATGGAACGTTTTTAATTTCGGTTGCAAAGAAAAGAGTTGGAAATAAAACTATTTTCAGTATCGGCGTGAATTGAGGATATGATGGAATAAATGTAATAATAAATTAATTGAAATAGTTTTAATAAAAAATGTGAGTGATATTTGTAGCAAAGAAAAAAAACATACTTGTGGGAATATAAACAAAGTGAAAAAATAACAAAAACAAAATAAATAAAAAAAGTATCTAAACAAACGTCATCAGTTGTAAATGTCGGCTGCCTGCATGTCAGCCAGCCAACCCTGCAACATTGTATAAGAAGAAAATCTATATTTGAAACTTTTGGTTGGTTTCACAACACACACCCGTGTGAAACATACACACACGCACACACACAGATACTAACAACATTTACAAAACTCCGAGACAATTCCATAGAGGAAGAAAATATAGAAGCGAATCCGTGAAATAAAGCAATATGACCATGGAATGGACCAGAGAAAAAACCCTAGCCCTCATACAGGAATATCGTAAGAGACGTGGCCTTTGGGATATGACCCATGAAGATTATCGTAAAAAAGATGTCAAACACAAGCTGCTCGGCGAAGTTGTGGTATCGCTGGGTGGCAACATACCCATTATGGAAATTGAAAAGAAGTTCCACACTCTGCGAACACAATATCATCGTGAGATCAATCGCATGAAACGTAAGGAACCCTACAACTCGAAATGGTTTGGCTTCAAGTGTTTACAATTCTTAAGTTCACCCAAGGCCTGTCGTTCGAATAAGGGCCGCTTAAAGGCGGAAATAACCGAGGATGGTACAGTGACCACAAAATATATTATACGTGAGGCAATACCGGTGGTACATCAGCAGCATGATACGAGTGCCGGTTCGGGTAATGATAATGAGGAATTTCTAACGCTACAACGTCGTCCCACCACGATTACCTATGAGGCAGTGCCATCGGGAAATGCCACTTCCACATCGTCGAGTCGTTCGCATGAATTGGAGAAATTGATTGAGGAGACAACCAAAGATGTGGAAGAAATTGAGGAGGCCAAACCAAAAATGACCATCAAGGGAATTGGTGTGCCATTGGAAGCGCAGCAGCAGCATCAACATAACACAGATACCTATACACATGCTGGAGCAAGTGAATTGCAAATAACCAATGTTGAAACTGAGCATGCCGAATTGCATCACATTGAAGAGGACCATGACCAATTGGAGACCCTTAATATACAAAGTACATCGGATGAAGAAATGAATTATTCCACAAGTAGTGGAAATGGCCATATGAATGGTGGTGGTACTGTTGCCACAACAAATGCCTCGTCCAATACAACAACAGTGCATACAATACCGGCACGCATCATCAAGATACAACGTAGAGATACACATGACCAGGGGGAATACTATGAGCAACATCATGTGCCACAACAACAACAACAGCAGCCGCCGCCGTCGCAGCAACACCACCACCATTCGCAACAACAGCAACAACATCATTCCCAGCAACATCATCATCTCCATCAAACTCCCGCCACAACACATCAGCTACATACGACGGTGTCGCCTGGTGGCAGTACAACAACAACAAAACGCATTTACTACGATGCTGCGGGTCATCACACGGCAACCATATTGACAGCAACACCAAATCCAACATCATCATCACAACAGCATCAGCAGCACCACCAATCGTCATCAGGAATGACCATTTTAAATGCCTCAACATCTACCCTCAGTTCACCGACATCATCCACCAAATTGCATCTGCGAAATGCATCATTGGCTCCGGGTACAATACATACCATGGCCACAACATCGCCACCTCTGTCTTTGACAGCCAATGGTACTCTCGTTACCACCACAGCTGCTGCTGCACCCACAACTTCATCAGCAATGGTTCGCGACGAATATACCACCTATGGCGAATATGTTGCCAATGAAATGCGAAATATAACAAGCCGGGAAATTCTGATATCGCTGAAACATAAAATAAATACCGCACTCTTTGAAGCCAATATGCAAGAGCTGCAAAAGTGAAAGCAAAAAAGAAAATGAAAATATTTTACACCACCATCCTCGACCATAAGGTTTTCAACGCAGCGATGTAGACGTCCGAGTCGAAGACCGCATAAAGTGGACTCGTGATTGGAAGGGAATTCGATATGTTGTTCGTCTGTCTGAAACCACACAATCTGAGCAATATTTTTGAGATATATGACAACGTTCTGATATCCGACAATCCATACACGTTTAATATGTCGTAATTTCTTACAGACGATGCTGCTCATATACAGACCATAACATAAGCTAAGGGGTTTTCTTTTCAACTGTTTCTTAAATTAAGTTTTAGTGTAATTAATACATTTTTACATAAAATCAATTGTATTGTAATGTTATATATATATATACAGTGTCGGACAAAACACATTGAACTGAAATTATATTATTAGAATTTTGAACTTTTGAGACTGTAAAAAATCCATTCATATCGAAAATAATAGAAAAGCTCGAATGAAATTTGCCGAAGAACACATCATATATTCAGAAGTGGAACACAGTTTTATTTTCGGATGAATCAAAATTTTATTTAAAATGTTCTGATGGAATGAAGAGAGTATAGAGACCAATAAATAAGAGGTTAGATCCACGACATTGCCAAGGCACAGTAAAACATGGGGGAGGCAATGTGATGGTCTGGGGTTGCTTTTCTGGAAATGGACTAGGACCCATACATGTAAAAGATTGGGTTGAAAAAGAAATTCAAGTAATGATGTGGTCAGCACAATCATCGGACCTAGATCCGATTGCAAATTTATGGGAAATAGTTAATAAAAAGATAAATAGAGAAGGTGTGGGAGGAGATAAGAAAAAAACTTTTTTGAAGCCTTGGAAGGTGCTTGGATTGCTATTAGACAAAACAACGATAGACAACCTTATTGCTTCCATGCCCAGAAGATGTGCAGCCGTTCTCAAAACCGAGGGATTTTCCACAAAATATTGATTGCATTGTTTGATTCAATATGTTTTGTCGCGTGTATTTTTGACATATTTTAGTTTTTTTTACATTACAAAGGTCGACTTTTTTATAATATGTCGAATAAATCCTATTTGTTTTTAAAGAATAAAAGTTATGTTTTGAATTTCGATGCATATAAGTTTTTAAACATGAATAATATTAATGTCTATGTAGTTTAATGAAAATTTAAATTTAGTCTAATATGTTTTGTCCGATACTGTATATATATACATATATATATATATATATATTTGTATTTATGTTTTTAAATAACATAAGTATTTAATGTAGTTTCATATTCTTTATGTATATACACATATAAATAAGTATGTGTAGTCCAACACTCCTTTGTTAAAAATTAACTAACATTTCCTTTTGTGATATGGAAATTATTTTAGAAATAGAATATCAAAATTAGACATTATTATTACCCGAAATAAATATTAAATGTTTCCCAATATTCTAATAATAATAAAATAAATAGCAAGTTTTTAATAAAAACTTTTAAATTTATGACTTCTACTAAACTGAAGCGAACGACGTCATTCTAGATTCATTTCGGTATGCTTCGTCGTTAATATGTGCTTATTCCAGTACGCTATACAAAATCTTGTCTACATTGTCTGACAAACCTTGGGAGTTTGGCGCACAGTTTAACCAAATATCGGACGAAAATATATATGGGAGCTATATCTTAATCCGTACCGATTTCAACAAAAGTTCACATACATCAATGTAGACTCAATTCGGTAAGCTATGTAAAATTACTCAAGAAGTACAAAGCCGATATTATTGCCCTTCAGGAAATGCGATAAAAAGGGACTGGCGTAAGTAAATCAAATGATTACGCCCTGTATTGTATCTGCCATCAAACGAGTCATGAATTTGGTTACGGATTTTTGGTTAATAGAATAAAATAACCCGTCTCCAAATTCACTCCAGTAGATGAGAAGTCAAAATTGGGCAGACCAATGACAATTAAGTAGTAAGAAAGTACGACAGGGTCTATCCCGTTTGATTTTGCATGTTACAAAAATATGTACGAATACATAATATGTATCATGTATTACAGTGTGGTGAAGGATATGAAAAAGAGTAAAAAACAAACTCTTGAAGTATAACAAATCCTTGGTTCCGAACCTAGAAGAAATTCACAAATCGAAAAGTACTCTAAAGTTTAAAAATTAGAAAAGGTGTGCCACTTTTTGAGACCTATTTACAAATTTTGAAAATTTTTGTATAAGATTTTGAAATATTTATACGTATCAAATATGATTTGTGAACCAAATTTCAATTTACCACAAAAAATCGATATAAAACAATTTGAAAATTTCACAACAAATAATGGAAACATCTCCACAAAAGATCCCCTTGATTGCCAATCGCTGAATATCAAACCAAAAATTTCATACATACAAAATAATTATAATATTTTGCCAAAATTCTATGATCAATTTGAACATTTAAATCATGTTCTATCGTTGAAGGAAAATTTGTATTTAAATTGCCGATGGAATCAATTTCTGAATAATGCACCAAAGGAATGTATAAAAATACAATTATATCGTGATTATCAAAAGGAAGGCGGCAAGTAAGTAGGATGGAATGATGAAAAGTATTTGTAAATAAAGTTAAACATTGGTTATTTCATTTTAGGCGATTCGTTGTGAGACGAAAAATGCTAAATGGCCAATTCTATGGTGTCGACAATAAATTGGCACCCATACCAATTCTAAATGATCCAAGGAAGTGATATATGGACAATATTGGCATTTTCTTATTATTCCATTTTAGAAGAAAAAATCGACTTTTCCTGTTCGTTCCTACTACATCAATGATTTTTGTTAGGTGGGTGATTCCGAATCCCTACGCGATCTAATTTTTGGTTGGTGCGCTCAAACGTCACGAAGGTTTTAATTTCGCCATAAGAAAAAAATCTTAAAATTACGCTTTTTATTATATTGACCAATCTGGCAACGCCGCGATGAAGAACTAAAATTTACGCGTGCTTATCGAAAAAATATTGAAATATATAAATAAATAATTATACAAAGTTAATTGTAGTGGAGTAGTGCAGAATTGTCATATAGAAGTTCGAATTAGTGACAATTGTTGAAAACCAGCTGTAATTTTTTAGTATCGCAATTGTATTTGCCGCACTTTTGTAACCTGTATATTTGTTTGTTTACAAAAATACAACATAACCTGTGCAGTAACAATGGCTCCTCCAAAGGAATATAAATGTGGCATTTGTAATACCAATTGCACAAAAACTCAATATAGCGTTTTCTGTCGCCGATGCTCTGTGTATTATCAGCTACCAAGTGTTTAGGCATTTCAACGGCAAGATTAAAAAGCAAAGCTGTTGAATTTACATGTCCCAAATGCAGCATAAATGATTCCTCGCCGAGTGGGAATGGTAATGGTGTTTCATCAGTTCTCTCAACTAGTGGCAATGATAGAAGTAGTATTGCAGCATCGCCTGGAAGCACAGATGTTTTAGATAGACGCTTCCTAGATTTTGGCGAATCTCTCAAAAACCAGATCCTTGCCCAACAAAAAGACTTGGATGAACATTTGCAGAAGTCAGCAGCTGGGTTTGAAGAAACAATTAATAAATGGGTGTTACAATTAAGAGAAGAGTTCAAATCACTAATTCGTGACATAAAAGATGATATAAAGCTGATTATTAAAACTAACAACGACTTTTGCCAGAGGCTTCAACTAGTTGAAAGGCATAACAATACTCTGTTGAGAAGGCTTAACCGCGCAAATATTGTTATTAATGGTTTACCCAGAGGAATTGTTGATCTTAGCAAGTATGTTATAGATATTTGTAATCTTTGCAATGTACCATTGAGCCCTAAAGATATTCAGCACAGCTGTTACTTTGCTAATGGGAAGTCGATTTTGGTAAAATTAAATTCCGTTCAATTGAGGGATCGGATAATGTCAAATTTCTACCGCAGGCGTACCATTAATCTTTGTGAGATTATCGATGGAGCAGGTAACTCTAAAATTTACCTCAATGACCACTTAACACCAGAAGCATCGAAGTTGGTTTATACATGTCGAAAATTAAGAGACAACAAACATATAGCAAAGTATACACTTATAAATGGCGACGTTCCTAAAGCTACTATTATTCATCTGAATGGCAAGAAGGAATCGTTGAGTTTACAACAATGTCTAGCACTAGCTGGTAATCTTGCAGACAATTCCAGCTCCAGCTATATGCAAATAAATCAAAGTGAGATATTTTCTCTTTAGTGCTGTTGAAATATTGTTTTTTAATATTCCTATTACTTCCGATGGCTCAAGATTATAAATGATCAGTATTATTATTTTATATTATCTTCTATGTATTATCGGAATTGTATATAAGGGCAGAATTTTGGTATAACTGTGTTCCGGAGTAGTATTCTTCTACATATTAAGTTTTTGCATTTTCTTTGATGATTGTTGTACAATTTACTGTTTCTTATATAAAAAATTCCCACTTGTATTATATTATATTAAATTATACAATTTGTTTATATTTTTCATATTAATTTTCTCGATATTAGTTCAGTTATATTTTTGCTTTAATTAAAAAAAAATCGTAAAAATTTTGTCCGTTATTGTGTACGGGAACACACACAATGAATAACTTAGGTGACGTTATTCATAATAATCAAAAAATTTGCTCTCAGTTTAATAATATGAGTTTGCGCATGAAGATCGCTCATTACAACATTCAGAGCTTCTGCGTTAATCCATCCTCGATTAAATTTTCGGAAATTAGAAATATTATTGCCGGTAGTACTTTGGACATTGTAGGGATTTCAGAAACTTGGCTGAAGCCGGGAATATCGTCCAACTGTGTAAAAGTTAATGGATTTAACTGTTGTCGTAATGATCGACCCATCAATAGAGGCGGTGGTGTCGCATTGTATCTCTCAAAATCCCTATCATATAAAATTGTTTATAGAGGCATTAATTACGGGGTTGTTGAATGTTTATTTGCTGAGGTTGTTTGTGAGTCTGAGGTTGTCTTAGTGGGGGTAGTATATCTACCTCATGGCGATTTTGAGGCGTTTGAGAATGAAATTGCCGACTTGTTGCTTAGGTATTCCAAAATTGTCATTATGGGTGATTATAATAAAAATTTATTAGATGCTAATGTCGCTTCATTCGTAAGAAGATCTTGTGTTAGGATGAATATGTCAATTAGACATAACTCAAAACCAACCCATTTTGATGTGGCTCACAAGTCTACGTCTCTCTTAGACTTCTTTTTAGTGTCCATTCCTGATGACATTTTACTTTCAGATCAGGTTATTTGTCCGTCAATTTCTAAGCATGCAATGATATACGTTGGGATTAATTTTACCGTTAGGCGTGAAGAGGCGTATTATGAGTTTTATGACTATGGGGCAGTCAATGCCGACTCGCTACAATCCAAAATAAATTCCTTCGACTTTTCAGGCATATGGCGTACATCGGATGTAAATGAGCAACTTCAAATATTTATGTCTGCTCTTTCCCATATTCACTCTGCTGTTCCCTTAAAGCGTCGAAGAGTCTGTGTAGTCACAGACGATTGGTACAATTGTCCTAGTATTGCTTATTATACATCTCTTAGGGATTTGGCCTTCAAAGCTTATCAAGAGAACATTACCGACGAGAACTGGAAAATATTTTGCAAAGCTAGGAATAGAGCCAAATCCTTTGTAAGAAAAGCTAAACGTGAAGCACACTTTGCCTCCTTTTCGGACGTTGGTAATGGGAAAAAACTGTGGCAAAAAATTAAAAATAATGGAATACATGATAATGGTCCTGATGTATGTACTTCCTTAGATATTGATGTGGATCAACTTAATAATTCATTTCTTGCCAATCAGTTGGACAATTCAATAAGCACAAATAGTTTATCTTTTTCTGATTCTGAAAGTGATTTTACTTTTCGAACAATATCTCTTGAGGAATTGTTTTTTGCATTTTCTTTAATAAAATCCAATGTGGCCGGTAATGATGGATACCCGTTAAAGTTTCTTAAAATTGTATTGCCTCTTATCGGGGTTATTTTCCTTCGGCTTGTGAATACTATAATTATGACATCTATTTTTCCATCCGAGTGGAAGGTGGCTAGGATAGTTCCCATACGGAAAAAATCGCATTCGATTAGCATTGATAATATCAGACCTATTTCTATCTTGCCTATCCTAGCTAAGGTAGTAGAACATGTTCTAAAACTTCAATTGTCACAACACATTGAAACTTGTGGACTTCTGACTGATTTTCAATGCGCTTTCCGTGGACATAGAAGTACAACCACTTTGCTCATTGGACTCACTGATCTCATTAGAAAGTCCTTTGATGATCATAATGCAAGTGTGCTTGTATCTATTGATATGGAGAAAGCCTTCGACCGATTGGACTACGGCACACTCTTGCGTAAGCTGAATTCACTATACCGACTGCAAAGCAGTGCGTGTCGCTTGATATCCTCATATCTGACAAATAGAAAGCAATATGTATTCGTGAATGGTGTAGCATCCAGTATACTTTCGGTGAGAAGTGGTGTGCCGCAAGGCTCAGTGCTTGGTCCATTATTATTTATGCTGTACATTAATGATTTATTTTCCTCCCTGTGTCATTATAGCTCACCTTTCCTATTTGCTGACGATGTTCAAATTTTATTCACAAGCAACATCGATTCAATAGATGTGCTACAAGCTAAAATTAATTACACTCTATTTATAATTAGAGAATGGATGGTTGCAAATAAGCTCTCTGTTAACCCTTCCAAAACAAAAGCAATGCTTTTTTCTCCTCGCGATTTTGTATTAAATGTAAAGTATAATGGTGTATCAATCGATTTTGTTGACAGATTGGAATGTCTTGGTGTTCTTCTGGATAATAAACTTGACTTCTCTCATCATATAGATCGAGTTGTTTCACGTATAAACTATGTTTTACGCCAGCTTTATAATTGTGATCTAATCTTACCAAATCATATTAAAAAGTTATTAATTCATTCATTAGTTATGCCAAACATACTCTACGGCATTGAACTCTTTTCTGGCACAACTATGACCAGAATGAAGCTCGTTCACAAGGCGTTCAACAACGCAATGCGTTACCTCTATTCTTCCAAACGCTTCTCTCATATTACGCCTCTAACAAGAGACTTTTTGGGATGTACATTTGATGAATTTGTTAATATTCGATGCCTCTTACTTTTTTATAAAATTGTTAAATTTCAATGTCCTAACTTTCTTGTTAATTCGTTTACATTTGCACGTTCTACTCGAACTACAAGCCTTCTAATACCTCGTTTAGTTGGAAGGATGGATAAGTCATTTCGGGTTAGGGTTTCTCGTCTCTTTAATGCCCTTCCCAATAACTTAAAAACTTTTTGCACATCTATTTCAACCTTTCGGAAGCGCATTTTGCGGCATCTTCAATTAAACTGAGAACTAAATTTTTTCTCCTTTATAAAATTGTTTGTTATCTACAAAAAATTAAATATTATTATTATATATTATTAATTGTAATTATATGGTAAATTAAATTATTATTTTCATAATCTGGAGTAGGTACTATAAGTTCATGCATATTGTAAATCTCATTGGCCTTTAGGCTTTTTTTACAAAATAAAATATAAATAAATAAATAAAAAAAGCATTGACATATAGCTTCCTGATTGAATCGTCGTTCTCAAGGACGAACCCTATTGGGTTTGGTTCAGATTTAGATATTTTCTTCTTAGTTGGCTTGTGGCAGGACGGTTGTTCCATAAACCAAGCTTAGCGATTTGGAAGGCAGCGGAATTGATAAAAAGTCTGGATGAAGAGGTCGTTGAACCGGTGACTATCTTTGTGGATAAGCGGTTCTTAAAGCCATTAAATCTTGTTATATCAAATCTGAGGCCGTCCTCAAGTGTAGAGCAGCTTTGGAAGAACTTACAGCTATCGGTTGTGTTGGGTACCAGGACATTGTGACATCTTGGGTAATGAAAGAGCGGACGAACTAGCTAGACGAGCACCTTGAGGCATTCTTCGACGAAAGAGCCTATGAACTTTGGCACAACGAACCTAGGTACAACGTGTCAAGATCCATTTGGCCGACCTTGACCCGTAACACATCTTCTGTCTGATTCCTATATTTGTCTGTAAGCTTCTCATCTCCCTTTATTTCCCCAATCATCTCCCCCCTACAGATATTTCCTTATCTCGTTTCTTCTCGTGGATGTTCACAACGGTCCTAGCGGTCTCAGAGTGCGGTAGTCACCTAAGTGACTGCACATCCCCAAACCTAACCTAACCTTGGTACATCATCTTATCTTTTGATTATTATCTTATCTTCTGAACTCTTACTTTAAACATACAACTCTGTGTTGATAAATGAAATAATAGTCGTGTTCCAATACATTCTAACCTAACCAAACACCCCCAAAAAAAATTGAGCGCCAAACTCCTAACATTTGGAAAATGTTGTATTTTGCGATTCCATCATAAATATTGAATCCATACAATGTGACCAATAAATCGTCAAAGATAGGGGGTGGAATTATCATAATTTAATCATTTATTTATGGCATAATTGTAAATGTATTATGTTAAGTAAACAATACAAATAAATGATTTTTATTTTTGCTATTAGATTTAATGGAGTAGTAGTTCCATTTTACAAATTTGGTTTGTTCTGTTCTGTTTTTTTAACTTAAAACTATGCCAAGCCCTTCTATTGTAATATCAAGATCATAACTATTTTGTGTGGCATTTGACTGTGCTTTGAACATACATATGTATGTATATATACTTGTGTTTTATGCAATATAATTTGTGTAGAGTGGTATTAACACTAATCTAAAGGGAAAATCGATCCTGTCATCCATTATCATATCTAATTACTGGGATTTTTTATCTTCTTCTGCTTTGGTTCCTTCTACTTCTTCTTTCTTTTCTTCAAGACGTTTTCTACGTTTCTCCTCGGCTTTGTTACGTTTTGTCCAAACGGTGCCGACTACCAAAAATACAATCCATGCCACATAACATGTATGATAGACGGAACTATAGAATCGCCATATTTTTTCAAATGTCACCAATAAGAAGGCGGTACCCAAATAACTTCCACAGAAAAATTTAAAGAACCAGAAGAGAGCATCAAGTATCTTGCGCTTAGTACCGGTGGCATTTTTGCGTATTAATTTATCCCACATATCTTCATTGTGGACATAGAATGGTGCTCCCATCAAACAGAAATAGTGGCCAGGGCGGAAACCATGCCAATATGCAGAGACAAGTAGTGTGACCACAGTTCTAGAAAAATAAATAAATGAAAATTTGCAATGAAAAGAAGAAGAATTACAAACGCACCTATATTTTTTACTGGGGAATAATTTATATACATTAACAGCCAACCAATATTGTACGCAAATATTCCAATGTTTCATTGTTTCACGGAATGTCGGACACTTCTCGACGTCCTTCACATTTGTGTTTACAATGGCAGTAAATGTATATTCTCCCTTATAGGTTTCCGGAGTCAAATGCTTATACGGTTTACGAGGACCAGCTCCGTTAGCGACATCAGCTTCTACAGGATAGGCACCGAAACCAGCCATTGTGCAGACACATTCACTCAAAGTTAAGCCGGTGTATATACGCATTCGGAAGATAATGAATGTTGGCCAGACATACATAAGGCGATAGAAATAGGAGCGTTCATTATAAAATTCATCAGTCAAGGCATACTGAAAAATAAAATAGAAAGTTTTAGTATTTCTTGGTATTTAAATTCAACTTAAGATTTACCTCCAATGGCCATATGTAATTGCCCAATAAGTACAGACTGCAGTAGAGACCAGCATATTTTAGTCGTTCCAAAGTTGTTTTGATTGTCGGAGCGTAGTCGGAATATGAGGTTTCAAAATAATCGCGATAGGTACGATAACGGTAATATGGACCTATAACAAAAATATTTAATTTTATTTAGGTATTTTTTATAAATAGGCTTGCACTAGAAGAAGTTCCTCTACATCAGTCTTATTTGCTCCCATGCTTCGCGGGAAGACAGAAGATACGAACAGACCAAAGACATATTTTATGAGCGCCTAGAAACAGCATATGACTCCTGCCCTGGCCATGACAATAAAATTCTTCTAGGAGATTTAAATGCAAAAACCGGAAGGGGAAATGGCCCCACTCTCAGAAAATTAAAACTCCACGAAGAAACATCCGACAACGCCATGAAGGATTGATGGACTTCGCGGTAGCAACAAAAGGGTAGTTAGCAGCACCAGATTCAAGCATCTATATATACACAAGGCCACCTGGCTATCTCCCGAACAAACAACGATAAATTAAATTGATCATATTATGATAGACGAAAGGCATTCATCCTGTGTTTTAGACATTCAATCGATACGAGTAGCGAATATCGATTCCTTTAACTTGTAGCAGCCCAGGTTCGCACTCGTCTTAATGTAACAGCAAAGGTGCGATCGAAAACAACACGAAAACTCGACGTCGAAAAGCTGCACAAAACTCAACAGATAGCAGAAGCCTAGTCCACTCAACTTAACCTCCTGTTTGAAGAAAGCACTCATTGTCCCGATAATAATATAGAATGACAATGAATTACCCTCTCCTTACAAACTGCAGCAAAAGCAATACTTGGGTACTTGGGTCGAACGTTGGGAGCGGTAAAAGCCACCTTTGAACTATTTGAGAAGGAGTCTGACAAAGTGGGTCTGGCAGTAAATGCCGAGAAAACCAAGCTGTTGATATCAACGCGCAAGACGTTCAGTAGACTCGGACCAACTGTGCAGCATGAGAACTGGAGCTTCGAAGTAGTCAGGGATTTAATATACCTCGGTTCCGCCATAAACATCATATGAAATCCGGAGAAGAGTAGTGTTGGCCAACTGATGCTACTATGGTTTCAAAGTAAGCAGTTTAGAAAAAAGGCCACCTCCCGGCAGACCAAACCATGGGTACTTGCGCAAGCAAAGATCTATGAACCGATCTGCGTTGACGGTGAATATCGCCGCCGAATTAACCATGAGCTGTACCATTTATCCTCGGACATCGACATAATCAAACATATCGAACTGCAGCGACTACTTTGGCTAGGTCATAACGATGTCCCAGTTCGAAAGGCATATAAAGGCGAGCCAAGCTGATGGTTCACGAAGAAAGGGTAAGGCCACGAATACGATGGAAAGTTCAAGAGGAAGAGAACATTTCGAAACATTGTCTTTCAAATTGGTCCCTTGTCTCGATCTGGCAACTCCTTCATATGGAACCAAAATTTAACATGTGTTCATAACAGAGATGGAAGTTTTCAAACAACCTTTTACTGTTTATACCGCGCTTTTTGTGCTAGACTAAGAACTTTCCAAACTGCCCACGTAGAAGGAGTAAACCATCTTTGTATATGATATAGGCTTGCTTAAAAAGTTTGATCCAAAACGGATAGTCCGTTGTTTGCATGATATTTTATAATGAAATATCAGCACAATTTTGACCGTTGGGAAATTTGTAAATCGACTCTAAATTGTGTGAAACGGATATGGTCCAAAGAAACATGGCGTCTAAAATCAATATTTCGATGAGGCACATTTTTCCCGTATCAAAGTGCATATTCCCTTATTAGCCATACGGCTGAGGGTATAATTATCAACGTAACATTCCCCGCCAAATATGTCTGATGAGACGATTCGTAGGGTTTCTCTCTCTAGCTTTCATATTGCTAACGCTTTACTAAATTCTATAGACAGTAGCGATAAACTTAATTGTTAAAAGCGTTATTGTTTAAATTGATTAACCATCAATAATGATAAACGTTTTTTTATAGTTCTTATCTCTTGTCTGGTTCGAACCTCTGTAGGTACATTCAGTAGCCAGGTGTGCAATTTACTACTTACCCGTCAATATACCAATATAATTGAACGAGTAATGGATAATCTCAATTATATCTACCGATTGTACGGCAGTATCATATTCAGATATTTCCACGTCTTCATTCTTTTCGCGTTCTTTAAGTTTTTTCCAAGAGGCAGTTTTTTCAAAACCAATACCGGCAATCTAAAAAGCAGTTGTTTTAGCACTACACACACAAAATAGCAATAGCAACAAAACCACACACATACCTTCAAGGTCATAACCATTTGAATCATATTTATATGACCCGGGGGATCAGGAAGACCAAATTTACTAGCCAAACGGAAGAATGCCAAGTAGCCAAACATCACAGTAAAGGCAGCTAAATGGCATTTGCTAATATGGAAACAATTTACAAAATTGGGAAAAATAATAAAAATAAATCATTTTATTTTGAACTTTGACCTTCACTGGGGTATACGAACCTTGGATGCACATAGATTACAGCAGCTGCACCCAGTAGCGCTGATACAAAGCAATGAAACGAATTCCATCCTGACACAATGAAGACCATTAAAATACCCAAGGCCGTACTGATATACTTCTTTTGGCTCTTGTCGGGAATTTTGCGCACATAATTGCCTGCTCCTATACAGGCCAGCAGGCAGATTACGTAAATAATATCGTCGACATTCATTTCTGAACTTGTTTTTCTTTATTTATTAGAACAACAAATGAAGTACCGGGCGTTTTAATTTATTTTATTCATAATTCGTCGATGCGGTCGGTCACTCAATTCAGTTCACTCTCTTTGTTTATATTTTTTGTGGATGTGATTGCCGATGATTGCATCCAGAGGTGGAAGTAGGTCGACAAGTAAACGCCGTTGCCTTTTCATGTGTGACTAGGATTTGAAGGCACACCGCCGCCGTTAATGGAATGATTCGTCGCTGGTTTGTTTAGCTTAAGCTGCTACTACACTTCAAACATGGGCGTTCAATTGGGGTGTAAAGCTGCTACAATCCATAAAACTTATTTTCGAATTTGGTTTTTGACGCAAAAAAACTTCAAGCATGACATGTTAGGTTGGTTTTGTTTAATGTAAACGAATAAATTAGAACAGCGTTTAAAATCACAATCGACTCTAATATTTTCTTATAAATTGACAATTCATATTTATTGAAAATACCTTTATATATAAGGATCTTATTTTCTATATTAAGTTCTGAATTCCGATTTATTAATGGATACATCATGCTTTTGGTTTTATTAATTTTGTCAACTATATGCGGAATGTGGCTCTTGAAATTTATTCGAGTATCAAGGATACTTTACATTGCTCTTCCATAGGATATCCTTATTGCGTTTCCTTATGAAATACAGTGAGCAGCAAAAGTCATGGTACCCCATACAAAACAAAAAATATTCTGTAATTCCTCAAAAAGTAATTCACAAAATTTCAAATATATATTTTTATTTCATGTATTCAGTCCTCTACTACAACAAATTAAAGTAATATTTCATTTTTTATTAAAACAAAATCGACATAAGGCCAAGTCCGTATTTTTGCACAGCAAAAAGTCTTCACAAAATTTCAAATATATATTTTTATTTCATGTATTCAGTCCTCTACTACAACAAATTAAAGTAATATTTCATTGGCTTTAACATGGCGATTTTTGCCAGCATAAGTCTTGGTATCTTGGTCCCTCTTTCATCTCAATTGTGGACACTGACCTCCCCGCGGTGCCACCTGGGGAGCTATTCTTATCACCCGATGAAATAGTGAGCTAATATGTGCCGCGAGTTCACCCATAAGAACTATAAAAAAATGGGTTGAGGCGTAGGGTTAGTTGCCCACTCTCGGAAAACCCAACCTACTATGAAAAAGCAAAGAAAAAGAAAACCAAACCCCCCTAATGTTGACGACCCCCGCAAACGTATAAAGGACCACGATCTGCGAATCTGCACTTGGAATGTGCGCACGTTGTACAGAACAGGGGCAGTGTTCGCTTTGGCGGATATACTCAAAAAGTACAAATCCGATATTATTGCCTTTCAGGAAATGCGATGGAAAGGGACAGGCGTAAGTAAATCAGACGATTACGCCCTGTATTATAGCTGCCATGAAACGAGACATGAATTTGGCTGCAGATTTATGGTTAACAGTAGAATAAAAGACCTTGTCTCCAGATTCACTCCAGTAGATGAGCGAATTGCTATAATTCGTATAAAAGCAAAGTTCTTTTACATCAGTCTAATTTGCGCCCATGCTCCGACCGAAGATAAAGATGAACAGACCAAAGACATATTTTACGAGCGCCTAGAAACAGCATATGACCGTTGCCCTGGCCATGACATTAAAATTCTGCTAGGAGATTTTAATGCAAAAATCGGAAGGGAAAATATCTTTGGCCCCACCGTCGGAAAACTCAGCCTTCATGAAGAAACATCCGACAACGGCATGAGGTTGATTGACTTCGCGGCAGCAAAAAACATGGTAGTTAGCAGCACCAGATTCAAGCATCTCGATATACACAAGGCCACCTGGATTTCTCCTGATCAAGTAACGAGAAATCAAGTTGATCATGTTGTGATAGACGGAAGGCATTCATCCAGTGTTTTAGACGTCCGATCGATCCGAGGAGCGAATATCGATTCGGACCATTACCTTGTGGCAGCCAAGGTACGCACCCGTCTTAATGTTGCAGCAAAGGTGCGATCTAATACAACACGGAAACTCGACGTCGAAAAGCTGCAAACCCAACAGTTAGCCGAGGCCTACTCCGCTCAACTTACCCATCTGCTTGAAGAAAGCACTTCTTGTCCCGATAATAGTATAGAAGCACAATGGCAAAGAATTGCCCACTCCCTACAAACTGCAGCAAAAAGAACAATTGGTTACCAAAAACCACCACCAAGAAACCCATGGTACGATCAGGAGTGTCGTAATGCTACTGATGTGAAAAACGTAGCGTATAAGGCAACCCTGCAGACAGTAGCAACACGTAACGTGATGGAGAATTATCGGGAGAAAAGGAGAGAGGAGAAACGTGTTTTCAGAAAAAAGAAGAAAGAACAAGAAAAACGTGAGCGTGAGCAAATCGAGATGTACAGGAGTCAGAATGAAGTCCGGAAATTTTACCAACGAGTAAAACACCAACCCGAAGGCTTTGGTGCAGGCACATACTCCTGTAGAGATGAAGAAGGAAACCTGGTGACAGATACAGACAGCGTGTTGAGGATCTGGAAGGAGCATTTCGAAAAGCTACTAGTATCAAATAGTGGCGATGAAGATGATACCCCAGAACCAATAAGAGATGATGGTATAGAGTGTATAAAGCATCATCATAAAAGCAATTAATCGGCTCAAGAACAGCAAAGCAGCAGGAGCCGATGGGTTACCAGCCGAACTATTCAAGACTGGTGGCCAGATGCTGGTCAGGAGCATGCACCAGCTGATTAACACAATGTGGCTAGATGAATGCATGCCCAATGATTGGAACCTCAGCATCCTGTGTCCCGTGCACAAAAAAGGAGACAAGACGATATGTGCCAACTATAGAGGAATAAGTCTCCTTCCCATCGCATATAAAGTGCTATCCAGTGTGCTATGTGAACGATTGAAGCCAATGGTCAATGACATCATCGGACCATACCAATGCGGATTCAGACCTGGCAAATCCACCATTGACCAGATTTTCACTCTGCGCCAAATACTGGAAAAGACCCACGAAAAACACATCGACACATACCACCTATTTGTCAACTATAAAGCCGCATTCGACAGCCCTATCCGTTCAGAGGTGTTTAAAACCATGTCTGCGTTCGGCATTCCTGCAAAATTAATACGGCTATGCAGGATAACTTTAAGTGGCACAAGGTCAGCCGTTAAAGTAGGAAATGGCCTATCGGAGCCCTTCAATACCGAACGAGGATTCAGACAAGGTGACAGCTTGTCGTGTGATCTTTTTAACATCCTACTGGAAAAGGTCATACGAGACGCAAAGGTGAACAGAAATGGCACTCTGTACACCAAACAACACCAGTTACTCGCCTACGCCGATGACATCGATATAATGGGTCGAACATTGCGAGCGGTAACAGCCAACTTTGAACAAATTGAAAAGGAGTCTGCCAAAGTGGGTCTGGCAGTAAACGGCGAGAAGACCAAGCTGATGGTATCAACGCGCAAGACGTCCAGTAGACTCGGACCAACTGTGGAACTTGAGAACTACAGCTTCGAGGTAGTTAAAGACTTTATATACCTTGGTACCGCCATAAATAAAACGAATGATATCAGTTTTGAAATTCAGAGAAGGATTATGATGGCCAACAGATGATACTATGGTCTAAGTAAGCAGTTTAGAAACAAGGTCACCTCTCGCCAGACCAAACTCACACTTTATAAGACGCTGATACTACCCGTGCTATTATATGGATCAGAAGCATGGGTATTTGCGCAAGCAGATGAGGCAGCGCATGGGGTGTTTGAGAGAAAAATTCCTCGAAAGATCTACGGGCGACGGTGACGATCTGCGTCGACGGTGAATATCGGCGTCGAATGAACCACGAGCTCTACAATTTATACGCGGACATCGACATAGTCAGTCGTATTGAGCTGCAGCGAATACGGTGGCTAGGCCATGTTGTGCGGATGAATGAAGATGCCCCAGCTCAAAAGGCATATAAAAATGACCCTACTGATGGTTCCCGTAGAAGGGGAAGGCCACGAATTAGATGGAAAGACCAAGTAGAAAACAACATCTTGGAACGTGGTCTTCCAAATTGGTGGACTTGCGCACAAGACCGACGCGCTTGGAAATCTTTTTTAAGTTCGGCTTATGGAACAACCGTTCTGTAACAAGCCAGCTAAGTAAGTAAGTCTTGGTACCCCTGGAGAAAAAATATTTAATATTACTTAATTTTTACAATTAAATTGACTTACCTAATATTTGGTAGGTAGTTTGGTAGTTTTAAGACTTCATTTAATCGTTCGGGCATTGAGTATACAAGTTTTTTAGTGTAGTGCGACGATATTTTACCCCATTCTGTCAGAAGTATTTCTTTAAGTTGGGCCTTACTGGAAATTGTATGATTTCGGATTCGTTTATCTAGATGATCCCATAGGTGCTCAATCGGATTTAAATCGGGGCTTTGTGGAGGAGTTATCAGCATGTGTGGTGTATTTTATACGATCCACTTCTTAACGTCAATAGCAGTGTGTTTTGGATCATTGTCCTGTTGGAAGTAATAATTATCACGAATTGAGTTGAGTTTTTCAGCACTTTGATTCAAAATTTGTTTCAAAATATTCATGTAAACTGTTTTATTCATTATTTCCTCAATGAATACCAAATTGCCAACACCAGTTGCTGACATGCATCCCCATACAATTATTCTTTGGATTTGGTATTCTTTGGATTGAGCTCTTCGCCTTTTTTCCGTCACACCAAAGAGCGTCCATCCGACCCAAATATGTTAAATTTCGATTCGTCCGAGAAAATAACTTTGTCGCAGAACTCATTTGTCTTGTTTTTATAATAATTTGCAAAATCGACACGCTTCTTTCTGTTTGTTTTGTTAACAAGTGTCTTTTTGCGGGCAGTGCGAGCATTGAATCCATACTTCTTGATGCACCTACGTACAGTGTCTGCTGAAACAGCTTTCCCAAATGATGCTTTTAAGTCTGCAACG